CGAAGTATTTGTAGCGCCAAGTGGACACTACCGTGGACAAATAAGTTTAAAATATATAAAATAACTATGAAAGTAACTATTAAATTAGTTACTAGTTACTTAAAAGATGTAACTAAGTTAAGTTATAATTACAGATGGAAAGAAAGTAACGAAGTTAAGTTACAGTTACTGAAAAAAAGTAACTCTAACTGTAACTTCGTTACAAGTAACGAGTTACTTTCCATCCCTGGATCTATGTCAGTATCGGCGACTTTCCTCTAGTTATATAATCACAATTATAGTAACATGTATGTATAGTACAAATACAAATATAGTACAAATACAAAACTTTTTCTCTCAGTGTTCGAATTATCACGTTATATGCTGTTTTAATTCTTTAGAGATGGCATTGTTTTGTTATTAAAAAAACAATTTTTTACTAATTTTGCTAACAAATATTTTGTAAATAAAGAATCTATTGATATATATACTTTATTAATAGATACCGCTATATATTGATAGCTTATAATTGTTTGGCGTTTAGAAGAAAAAAGACATTGTGATTACGCTATCGTGCATAAATAAGAAAAGGGGTAGAATTGATAGTTTTGTCTTCAACTGAAAAAGAATTGATAAAATGGTTCTTTCTAATATAATGATAATGGAATGATTCACATCTAAAGTATCATATTTTAGCATTCAATGCTATATACAATACATTACCATCTTCAGTATTTAAGTGTAACTAATCTGCACAGATCCCGAATTTATTCCAAATTTGTCCCAAATTAAATTTTAAAGGAAATGCTGTATATGCAACACTCGCCCTTGGAGGCTTAATTAAATATGCATTAATAATGTTGCATTAATTATGTAGATAATAATTATGCAGAAATGATTTCTTGATTAACCTTTAAATAGGTAGGTGTGGAGTGTCACAGCACCCATGTATAGGATTTTCATTAAAATCTTCTTCTTGAAAAGGAAAATAAAAACTATTGCCTAGATCAGGCCTGCAGCCGAGTATCAATATTTTAAGCCGCCTATTTTTAAACCGCTTAGAAGGAATCGCGTATGTGATATCTGTGCTTCGTTTCTTTCTTTCGATTCTTCCTCCGTTCACAAATCAAAGCGTTTCGAGAATTCGGGAAAGTGCATTGCAATGCCGCGAGACGAATCGCCCGTACGCTTTCGAAATCTGAACCGTTCAAAACATTTCATGGCGATCCTCCTCCACGGGACAAGTTCGCTCGGGTCGCTGTAAGTTTGTCGCGGAGTTTCTCGAACTCAAATCGTTAAACATCGATTAAACGGATAGGTGACTCCTGGCGTGGACGCAAACGGGCACTCCTTGGATACGTGGGGCGCAGCGCAGATTGTACTTACGGGGCTGAACAAGTTACAAGTCTCGTTACAAGCAGACCCGGAAGTTGGTCTCGCGTCCCGTGTTAGAGCGGGCTTTGATGATGATTAAGTCGCAGGATTAAGTTGGCAGGAATCACGGCGCGATCTTCGATTTTCAGCTTTAGATCCCGCATCAAGCGCGATACTCGACATAGACGCATGCAGCAAACGTTGATCGCGATACAATCGCATGCAATCGGAACATCGTGAAAAAGTAGTTGGCAATATTTTTTGCAATAGTCAGACTACCGAGCACGGTGAGATTTTTCGAAACTCTGAACTCACTGACAAGTGGGACACTGTGTCGAGCACTTTTCGTAACAACAATATTTGATGGCAGGTAGTTACAGTGAAGTTTCATGCCAAGTTTGAAGTAATAGCGAGTCATTTATTGATTAACGGTTCACCTAGTTTTATAAAATTTCTCAATATGAAGAAAAATTGCTGTGGAAATTGTTTCAAATTATGACGAGTATTAGTGACAATTTCGTATATTTCTATCTACTATTTACTATTCATACTTTTACTAAAGAACAGAAATTCCAAAAATTCCATTAAAATATAGATAATATGTTTTAGTATTTACGTACAAATCTTGAGCAGCACAGTTATCTTCGGTTTCTCAGTTACTTACTTTTCGCGAGTTACAACGAACCAAAGCTGAAGATAAATTTAACGGATTTATAATCAGAACGATCTTAAACTTGCTCAGCAGATTTATTTTTCGACGTCTTACGGTTACTCGTAAAATCCCGGCATATCCTTGTCGTTCTGCGTCTTTTGCTCGATCGCGAATAGAAACGTCGGAATTTTGGCGATCTCCGGTATATAAAGTGTACGGATAAAAACGCTTCCGTCGGGACCATATTTCACAAATACTACTTACAGGCGTACACCCATCGTTCTTCCTGTAGACGCTTCTGGTCCCGAGTTTGCTTCACGGAAATTATATGCGGGATTCGAGCCAGAGCGCTGCTACGTGCGCTCCACGAGATCGAGGATTTAGAATCCCAAACTGCCGAACGTTGAGCGTCGAATTAATGCCAGATGTCGCGTACATTGGACCCTTCCGAAAAGCCGCGTGATTAATATCTTAATCCAGATCGCCGGAAGCATTCGGAACCGATAAGTTATCAGCTTTGATAATTTAGGTGAAAAAGTACTCAAGGCAGACGAACCATACTCTACATCTGCATCCAGTCCAGAATCTTACATTCGGAACTACTTGTGAAACGTCTTAATTCTACCAAAAATTCTACAATCTCCGCACTAATTATATAAAATTCTGTCCTGGGGGTCAATCATGTATTTTCACGTGAAACTTTCCACATTTAATTTTTCACTTTTCACTTTTCATTTTCCACTTATCGAGATCTCACGTAAAACTTTTCATATATAGCGATTATTACATATGCGATATTGCATGGACGACTGAGCAATCCATGTAATTTATAACCTAATAACAGAAAGAAAAATAATAATGAACGTAACTGTGAAACAAAAATAATAATATATTATAATAATATATTTCACAAAAACTATTATTTGTATGTATGTAT